ACTTCTGGATTTGTAGGTAGTTAGAGCTAGACGAGTCTTTTCCGCCACCAGTTTGAATAGAATATCTCCTATAAACCGATTCGTGGGTAAGACCCGGGTTTCAGGGACTTTCCGGACCTGTTAGACAGAGAACTGGTCAGTAGTCAGTCGAATGAGTGGTGAGATAAAGGCGGGGCTGGCTATTGCATAAAAACAAACAACATGTTTAACTATTTGTGGTGTATATGTAAATGTTCATAACAGGGTGGAACACAGTCAGAGACAATGGTGAAAAAAAACACCTGCAATTATTAATTTATCCAATCCTGAGCTTGCCCATTATTAATTTCTTATTGTTAAACATGTCAGTGTTGTAACACAATATTTAAAACTTAAAACATTAATACTTTTTTTTTTCAAATGTCCTGAAGCCGAAATGTTGCCGCAAAAAAAGAATCACCCAAATACAGTTGACCTAGAAAGGAAATTCAGTGCTGGTATAAACAAAGTAGGTGTTTCTAACTCAATATCTCTCCTTACAGCGCAAAGCCATCCTGCTACAGATTTGAGGATTGTGTTGATTGGAGGAAGATCAGATGGACGTCCCACTGGTAAAAGTTCTGCTGGAAACATCATCCTGGGTCAAAATGTTTTCAACACCAGCAGAAGAACAGCTCAGAGTGAAGCGAGGCAGCAGGAAGTGTTCAGCAGACGAGTCACAGTGGTTGATACTCCAGGATGGTGGTGGAGGTGGCCAAGAGAAAACACTCCAAAACTGGATCAGATAGAAATCCAGAACAGTGTCCATCTGTGTCCCCCAGGACCTCATGTCTTTCTTCTGGTCATTCCTGTCAGTTTATATTTCTCTCAGCGAGTCAAAGCTTCACTAAAGCAACACTTGGAGCTTTTAAATGCAGATGTTTTCAGTCACACCATCGTTCTGTTCACTTCAGTCGCTCCATGTAGTGATGAAACTGTAGAATCTAAAATCAGAAGACGTTCAGTCCTGCAGTGGATTCTTCAACAATGTGGAAACAGAAAACATTTTCTCAACATCAGCAACAGAGAAGATAGAGATCAAGTCAAGAAGCTTTTAGAGAAAATTGAGACCCTGATTACAAACAATGGATTCAGACACTGTTCTGTTGACAGAAGTCAAGGAGAAACTCTGAGAAAAGAAATGAGAGATTTGACTGAAAGAGCCTCAAAAAGGTTTGATCAAGTCCAGAAACAAAGAAACAAACTGAAGCTACAGATTGAAGGTAGGTTGAGAGTTACTTTATTTGTAATAATCTGCAATATTTCTTATTCTGTTTGTGGGTAATTGCATCAGGTCAACTAGAGTTTGACAGCTAAAACTTTGTGTTTGAGAATCATTTAAAGAAATTAAACATCAAATATTGTATATTATCCATAAAGTACAGTGAAGTGTTCATGGCTTCCCACATTGAAAAAGGAGGACTAAAGACTTCTGGATTTCACTCACTCAATTTTATTTGCACCGGTAAGAGGTGAAAAAACTACAAAATGCATATAAAACTATCAAACATACATTTTAGAGATAGTTTGAAATTAATAATTTATCTTGGTTATCATTCCATCATTAACTTTAGACATAGACATTCACAATTTTAACCAAAATTACTTATTTTTATTATTAAATTTGTTTTTCTTTCATGACATCATTTTTTGCATTAATTGAATTTTAGATATACATTCAATGGAACCAAAACTATAAATCCCAGCAATGTAAATTGTTCCTTCAATAAATTTTACATTTCTTACAAAAAGAAAAGCCAGACTACATTTTCAGTGAAAGGCTTACCAGTAATCCTTATTAAGTCTAAGTCCTTTTCCCATGAATTTGATCAGTCTGCCTTTGAAATGCTGCTTTGGGGACTTTAGCAGCTCTTTTGGATTCCTTATAGTATCTGAGTTCAGTGTGTTGCTGATTGGACCAGATTTCTTCCATCTGCTGAGAAGTGCTGCAGAGTGGCACACATGTTTATGAACCCACATCTGCACCCATGAGCAGATTTGTGCAACAAGTATTATATAAAAGAAAAAAACATATTGACTGCTTCTTTTCTGAAATCTTTTAACAATTCAGTGGAAGCTGTAAGGGAAGAAACAAGTTTCTTGAAATAATCTAAATCACACAATTCATCACCTCAGTATTTTTTTGCGAAAAATACCTGTTTGATTCATTTATTTCCTGTGTGATCTACCATGCTCTAAATAAAGCCAATTAGCAAACTTTTTTAGATTGAGGAAACTGATTTTTTTTTCTGTTTTGTTGGTTTAGGTGGAAAAGTCCCTCCAAACCATTTGAGAATAGTGATGATTGGAGGGTTACTGACTGGCAAGAGCTCAACAGGAAACACCATACTAGGAAAAAATGAATTTGGCTTTCCTAAATCTATTGGAAGAACAACTCACAGTGAAATCAGCCATGGTGTGGTTGAAGGAAGGCGGCTCACAGTGGTCGATTCTCCTGGATGGTATTATGTCAACACCCTTCAGGAAACCAATGAAATGGATAAACTGGAAATAGAGAACAGTGTGAATCTGTGTCCTCCAGGACCACATGCTGTGCTGCTGGTTATTTCTGTGGACATTAACATTGATGAATCACATCTGAGATCTGTTCAGGAACACATGAGTCTGTTTAGAGAAGAAATCTGGAAACACACACTTGTTCTGTTCACCTATGGAGACTGGTTAGGAGTGAAGACTGTAGAGGAGCGAATAGAGAGTGATGAAGGTCTGCAGTGGATAGTGAACAAGTGTGAGAACAGGTATCATGTCCTGAACAACAAGGACCACAGTGATAAGACTCAGGTAAAGGAACTACTGGAGAAGATTGAAGAGATGTGGGCAGGAAATGAAGATCCTTACTATGAAGTGGAGCTGGACCGAGCAGCAGAGCTAGAAACCAAGAGAGAGACTGGAGACAAGATGGCCAAGAGGTTGAAGACGATCAATGAGAGAAAGTCAAGAGTCCTGAAAGAGCTGATTGAAGGTAGGTAATAAATAGAATATATTTCTAATATAATAATGCCACATTATTTTTAAGATTAAAAATATTAGTGTATTTTTTGTTTTTGTTTTCTTTTACAGGTCAAAGAAGTTCAGTCTGTGACATCAAGATTGTTCTTGTGGGCCAGAAATGTTCAGGGAAAAGTCTAGCTGGAAACTTGATCTTGTTCAAGGATCAATTTAATATAACTTCTCTCAGAGCTTGGTTAAAAAATGTAACACAACATTCAAACTAAGCAACAACATGTCATACAGACAAATATAGGTGTTCAGTTAGTAAAGCAGGTTTATTAATTTTGTTTTTTATGATTTCAGACCTGTCAAGATCATATAGAAACTTCAACATGTGTGAAACATGAAGGAAACTTTGATGGAGTAAAAGTCTCAGTTGTTGAAACTCCAGGCTGGTTCTCAGACCCAACACCACCTGACTGGATCAAAGATGAAGTTCTCCACAGTGTCTCCATGTGTTCTCCTGGACCTCATGTTTTTCTCCTGCTTGTTCCCATCCTCAGATCTTTCACAGAGAAAGATCTCAAAGCTCTGGTGGAGATCATGAAGCCATTAACAGAGAGAGTGTGGAGACACTGCATGGTTCTGTTTACCAGGGGAGACTGGATCAATGACGTCCCTGTAGAGAATTACATCGTCAGAGAGGGAAAGGAGCTCCAGGAGCTTCTGGAGAAATGTGGGAACAGATACCATGTTATAAACCCTTATCATTCTCAAGACCCTGTTCCTATCAAAGACATGTTCCAAAAATGTTTTGATATTGTGAAGCAAAACAGAGGTTGCTTCACAATTAAAGCTGAAGAAAAGAAACCTCAGATTCCACATTGGCAAGCAAAACAGTTAGAAGAAGAATGGAAAAGGAGAGAACAGGAGCTGATAGAGCGAATGATGAAAGCTTTATCAAAGGAACCAGAAGAACCAACAGCAACTCATGTGAGAACAGCAAAGAGCAAAGATCGCAATCCTGACAGTAAGTTTTATATTATAATGATTTAATGATTTACAGTCTTCCTTACATGCTTTGTCTTAATTATATGTATTTTTCTCTTAATTAACACTTTAATTTCTGTTTCAGTGAGTGGAGATGTTGCCTCAGAATATGGGAGCATTTCAGAGAACAGGAGGCGACGAGGACATGACCAAGTAGCTGAATGGCTGAATAACAGAGTCAAACTGTCTGCGATCAGCTCTGGGATCGGCAGCATTTTTGCCTCGACTATATATTTGGAAAACGTTGATGAAAGTTCTGAAAACGATTAAAGCAAACTTGGAAATTTAGGAAAAGAACAAAGTACAAACTTATCTTATGAACTTCTAAAACAAAACTTTAATATTTAAATCTTGTTATTTTAGCTAATCAACAAAAAAAAATAGACATAACGTCACTTGAAGAGTAATATCCAGAAAAGTTTTTATGTTCTTTCCTGATATAATACTTCATAAAATCCAATAAAAAATAACACTAACATATTTAAAATATTTTTCATAATCCTGATATAGCTTTCATCCTATTTTCTTGTACATTACCTAATACTCATAAAGGTAATTTTTTTTATTAAACCAATGCTGGAGAGTAAATGTAATGTATAGTTGATTGAGCTGCATTCAAGAGAAAATACATCAGTTATAACATCTCTATTTGTTTATGATAAAATAAAACATAAAAGTATTACTTATCTATTAATGGACACACTATATTCTGTATCTTGCTTTTATGTTTTGTACCTTCCATTGGACTTTTTTAATCAACTAGAAGATGCATCTAAAAAATAACCTTATGCAAGTGTGCTGCGGAAACCTTGAAATGCTAATTTTAAAAGGTTCATTTGACCTCAGTTTTTGATCAGTAGAGTTAATTCTAAGATTAGCTTTAGAGAAGATGTTTCCATCTGCTAAAGAATTGATCAAGTATATGATATGAAGAATCATTTTTGGTTCGCTATAATTTCTTAAAACTGAAATGCAACAGTGACCAAAATCCCTTCAGGGTATTAAAACATATTCATTTAGCTGGGCTATCTTGGGTGAAACAACATCCCCGATTTTGTTTCAGACTATCTTCAGATGTGATTTCTGACTTTCTTTTTACTCCAGCAGTTCAAACCAGACTATCAGGTTCAAATTCCAGCTGACAGAGAAACCCTAGTTATAGTTACAGTGGATGGTCTAAGTCACAGAATTATTATTCCTGTGAAAATCAACATTGATGAGTCATGTCTGAGATCTGTCCAGTAAAACATGAGTCTATTTAGAGAAGAAATCTGGAAACACACTTGCTCTGTTTAGCTATGGAGACTGGAAATCAGTGAAGTCTGTAGAGGAACACAGAGAAAATGAGGAAGGTCTCCAGTGGAACCTTCAGTTGTTATAAAGATCATGAATGTATCAAACATAGCTTAAAATAAATGTAACTTTTGCAATTTGATTCCTTCAAATTGGACCTCTGCCTCTTTGTTCTCTTTCAAACACTCTGCCTTCAGAACCTCATCACAACAACATTTCTCTATTAAGCTGTTTACAAATATTTTCTGGTACTTGGGTTGAGAAATAGTTTATATCAGTTCCACATATTCACAATGCCACCAGGTGCTGCTGCCATCAGAGTGGAGGAGGTGAGTGGGGAGGGTTTGGGGAAGAAGTGCTCTGTGAGGCGGGAGCTTGGGACCTGCAGCTCCAGAAAGGAGCTGTGTGGAAGGCGGCTCTTTGTGAGAAAAAGCATTTTAGATCCCCTGAATGGCTTCCACAGGAAATTAGAGGATTTCTCCAACATGCATAAAATAATAAAAGCACCACTTCAGGTGTGCTTTGATGAGGGAATAACATGATATGACATAAGCTCAAATGCTTTATATCAATTCTACATGATACATTATTATATCATTTTACATAGCGCCTTTAGAAGATGTCACAGCTTTCCTTTGGACTGAGAGACTGTATAATGTGAAATGATTTAAAACATGAAGCAGAGCTGCCATCACTTAACAGATTTTTTAACAGGGTCTATCAGCAGTAATGGTCCAGAGTCTAAAATTTAATTTATGCTGCAGTGAAGTTCTAATTAATCCTAAATGAACATTTTAAATGTGTAAACTCAACTGATTTAACAACTTAAAGCAGCAAACTGACATATCTGTCCAAATGATATAGACTCTGTCAGTGTTTCAGAGAGTAGAGAAGAAGCAGCTACAATATTGTAAACAGGTTATATATTTTAGATAATTAATTCCTTGAAAATAAGTATTAAATTTTGCTATAATTTGAGCACCTTCAATTTTTTTGCTGTCTCCTAATTATGAGTTGAGATCTTATAAGACAAAGCAAATGCTTGAAAATGCATAAATCTTGATTGTGCTTTGGACTTGGCAAATTTTATTCAGTTTTTATTTATAACTCTATTTGTAAAATTTTTCTAATCTCAGCAGTTTTAGTGGAATTTCTTTAATTCTGAAAACCACAACAGACCTGTAGTTGTCCTTGTCGTCCAGCAGATGTCAGTTTCTGGCCATGTTTGACTTTACCAACCAACAACAATCACAACAATCATCTCTGCAATTTGCTTTCATTTAGGAACAAGTTTAGTGAGAATAAACAACAAGCAGAAACGTCAACAGTGTGAAGCTGAAGAAATGTCTGCTTCAGGAGTTATATCCAGCCCAGGTTAGTGATTTTTTATAAAACTCTTCCTCAGACTTTTTTCTCATCTTGGATTCCACTTTTTTCAACTGTTGTCTTACTGGCTAAATATGTTGAATTCAGAGACTTTTGACTTTACATTGCAGATGGGAGTAGGACAAAATGGCTCCCTCTGCTTTTCTAGATTTTTTATGTTGGGATGTTAATTTTGTAAAGTGATTTACATTATTCCTATGGAAATGTGCATTACAAATAGATTTTATATTCTGAGATGGCTTACACAAAAAACATTTGTAAACTGTATTTCAATAATGTCTCAACTCTCCTTACAGCACAAATCCACCCTGCTACAGAGTTGAGGATTGTGTTGATAGGAGGAAGGAGATCAGATGGTAGTCCCAGTGGTAAAAGTTCAACTGGAAACTTCATTCTGGATCAACATGTTTTTGATACAAGCAGAAGAACAGCTCAGAGTGAAGCGAGGCAGCAGGAAGTGTTCAGCAGACAAGTCACAGTGGTTGATACTCCAGGATGGAGGTGGGGTGATTCAAGAGAAGAGACTCCAAAATTGGATCAGATAGAAATCCAGAACAGTGTCCATCTGTGTCCCCCAGGACCTCATGTCTTTCTCCTGGTCATTCCTATCAGTTTACATGTCTCTCAGCGTGTCAAAGCATCTCTAAAGCAGCACTTCGAGCTTTTTAATGCAGATGTATTCAGTCACACCATTGTGTTGTTCACTGCAGTCGCTCCATGTAGTGATAAAAAGATAGAATCTAGAATCAGAAGAAATCCAGTCCTGCAGTGGATTCTTCAACAATGTGGAAACAGAAAACATTTTCTCAACATCAGTAACGGAGAAGATAGAGATCAAGTCAAGAAGCTTTTAGAGAAAATTGAGACCCTGATTACAATCAATGGATTCAGACACTGTTCTGTTGACAGAAGTCAAGGAGAAACTCTGAGAAAAGAAATGAGAGATTTGACTGAAAGAGCCTCAAAAAGGTTTGATCAAGTCCAGAAACAAAGAACCAAACTCAATAAACTGATTTCAGGTGGGTTACAAGCTTCTATTTTAAAAAAAAAAATAAGTCACAGTTCTCCATGTTATAGGAAATAATATTTCAGGATTCACATCTTCTGTGAGAACATCACCTGTAACCCTTTGTAAAATTTTGTTGAATTTTCACTTTTTGAAAATGTGTCACTGAAGTGATTAGAAGACATTAATATTTGTTTCCAGAAGTTAAAATATTTTGGTTTTAATTTGTTGTGGTTTTATGTTTTATCTTATGCTTAAGGTGCATTTAAATTGTTACAAATACTGTTGCACTGCTTTTATTGTGAGATTTGTGTGTGGGCATATGGGGATACGAGACCTGCTATGAAAAGAACACAGTAAATACTGTAACAGAGCTATCTGCACCAACCTGATACAGCAGATTGGTGCAGCTTTAGGCAAAGATGGGCCCAAAGCGATGTGTTGTCATTTCAGAGAATGTTTTACTATTTTTAGAAGAAAACAAACCTCCAATAAGACTAAGATTAAAAAAAACGATTTAATTATACTACTACATGGCTTCTGGTAAAACACAACCAGAAGATTGAGTTTGTTTCCAGAGAAAGTATTCAGAAACAGAAAGCCAACATAGAACTAGACAAACCAGTCCCACAAGAAAACTTAAGTTCATTTTCTTTCGCAAAATCTTTTAACAGTTCACGGGGAGCTGTAAAGTAAAAAGAAGATAGAACAGTCACTTAAAATGACATTGATCATGCAGGTCATGCAACAGATTCACCACCTGACTATTTGTTTGGCCACCAGTAATTTCAATTTATTTCAGCTTTGCAACTGCTGGGTTACTTTATTTTCTGTGTCGTCGACCCTGATCTCAATAAACCTGAGTTGCCAACTTGTTTTAAATTGAGGAAACTACATAATTTCTTGGTTTCTCTGTTTTGTTGTCCCTCCAGACCATTTAAGAATAGTGATGATTGGATCATCATGTGCTGGGAAAAGCTCAACAGGAAACACCATCCTAAGGAAAAATGCCTTTGGTGTTACTAAAAGTAGTAGGAGAACAACTCACAGTGAAATCAGTCATGGTTTGGTTGAAGGAAGGCGGCTCACAGTGGTCGATTCTCCTGGTTGGTTTTACATCAACACCCTTCAGGAAACCAGTGAGATGGATAAACTGGAAATAGAGAACAGTGTGAATCTGTGTCCTCCAGGACCACATGCTGTGCTGCTGGTTATTGATCTGATAACTATCATGAATTCATTATATCTGACATCTGTTCAGGAACATATGAGTCTTTTTAGGGAAGAAATCTGGAGACACACACTTGTTCTGTTTACATTTGGAGACTGGTTAGGAGTGAAGACTGTAGAGGAGCGTATAGAGAGTGATGAAGGTCTGCAGTGGATAGTGAACAAGTGTGAGAACAGGTATCATGTCCTGAACAACAAGGACCACAG